GGACCCAGCAATTCCAATTCTCAGTATTTATTCAAAGAAGCACAAAACACGAACTCTAAAAGATATATTCATCTCTATGTCCATTGCAGCATTATGTACAACTAGAGAACTGGTGCACGAATTCATGCATCAATGGGTCCCTTGCCTTGGCCTGCGGGATTAGGCCGAAACCGGCTCGCCGACATTGATTGGGAGAGGGCACAGGCCAGGCCGAGGGATCCCACCATGCCAATTGGGGCCGGGGAGGGACGCGGGAGGTTGGCCAGCCAGGGAAGGACTGCAGGAGGGCTCCAGGGCATGTCTGGCCCATCTCGCTCGATCCTGATCAGTCGGACCCCAGCAGCAAACTAACCCACTGGTCAGAGCGTCTGCCCCCTGGTGGTCAGTGCACATCATAGTGACTGGTCAACTGTCTGCCCCCTGGAGGTCAGTACACGTCATAGCGAGCGGTTGAGCAGCTTTAGCATATCATTAGCATTTGGGGCCCAGTGCACGAATTCATGCACCTTGCAAGGAACTGTGGGCCACGAAGCTGCGGTGGGCATAGGGGCGGGTTTCAGCTCATCCTCTGTGCCCCCTCCCAAGCCCTCCTGCCATGGCCCCCGGTTCCATGTCTGCCGGCTGCCGCCGCTCCCATGTACTGATGGTGCCAGCCCCGCTTGCACCCACTGATGGTGCAGAGCAATTGAGGCCGGCACCAGCAGCAGTGGGAGTGGGGCTAGTGCTGTCAGCAGGTGCAAGTGGTGGCTACTGCCCTGATTGCCCCTCAGGAGCAGGGGGAGGTGGAGAAGCTCTGAGGGGCAATCGGGGAGAGCAGCCACTGCTAGCACACGCTGATGGCGTGGAGTGACTGGGGCTGGTGCCGGGCGCCGTCAGCGGGTGCGAACAGGGCCAGCGCTGGCAGCAGGTGTGAGCGCCGGGTGGGACCACGGTGCAGGGAGCAAAGAATTTTCAGTAACCATCAGAGGCTCGCCCCAATGACAGCAACCAAGGCGGGTCACCGTAGGAACCCCCACTCCCACCCAGATATATAAACAAAAATTAATTTACATATATGAACACACATGTACATTTCTACCCTCACTCTCCTGGAATATAGAGATAGACCACCTCTTTCTACCTACATTGTTACAAACAAACCTCTAATCATCCTGAATATTCGCATTCTACACCTACAATTATATACACACACACAACATGGGCCTGTGTACAAACATGGGCAACCAACATACCACCCAGATATACACACTGAATACTGAATACTTCAGACCCTCTAAAAATACAAGTACACAACTGCCTCATGTGTCACCCAAAAAAAGATCCATATGCAACTCCACAGCCCTAAAATGCATATACTCCACGATTCCTGAACACACACACACACACACACACACACACACACAAAACCTACACAGCCTCTTTGTTTCCAAACACACAAAGTGAACTCTCACATTCCCTAGAATACACAGCCCATCCATAAGCTCCAGGAACTCAAACATATACACAGTCACAAACAACCTCTACTTATCAAATACACTAAAGGCCTGGTGCACGAAATTCATGCATGGGGGTGGGGAGGGGTGTCCCTTAGCCCACCCTGCCCCCTCTCACAGTCCGGGAGCCCTCAGGGGATGTCTTACTGACGACTTAGGCCAGCTCCCCACGGGCCTAAGCCGTCGGTAGGCCTCCCTCTGCAGGAGGCAACCTGGTTGATCAGGGGAAGGCGCTGTCCCCATCACCCGGCTGCTGCTGACACTGTCAGCAGCTGCCAAGGTGTTTTCATCAACACAGACTCCAGTCCCTTCACCACAAAAAAATGACAACTTTCTTTAGGCATTTTCAAGATGTCTCTTTCATAGGATATGATCTTCCTTTCTTTCCTCACCTGAGGGTATTTTTCCATTGATTTTTAGAGAGTGTGGAAGAGAGAGGGAAAGACAGAGAAACATTAATGTGAGAGGGACACTGCGACTGGCTGCCTCCTGCACGAGCCCTGACCTGGAGGTACATGCAACCTAGGTATATGCCCTTGATCAGAATCGAACCCGGCCCTCCTGTGGTCTGCAGGCCAAGGCTCTATCCACTGATCCAAACCGGCTAGGGCAGGATATGACATTTCTTAGCCCCTCCAGCAGCGGACCTTCGTTTTTTTCCTCTAGAAGTGAGGTGGAAAAACCCTAGATCACCTTCTTGGATTCTTATTACCCAAGTTACCAAGAACACTGTGAGCGGCATACAGGGAGCTTAGCCGATGAGCAGTCAGAAAAGGTGTTTCCTCTGCAGCTCATGCACAGAGGCAGGACTGCTGGCGAGGGCCTGCCCTCGGCCACAAGCGGGTCCTCTCTCTCTCCCTCTCCCTCTCCTTCTCCCTCTTCTTCTCCTCCTCCCTCTCCCTCCAGCCCACTCTCTCTAAAAAGCAGTGAAAAAATATCCTTTAGTGAGTATTAAAAAACAAAACAAAACAAAACACAGAACAACAGGCCTCCTCCTTGGAGATGCTGAATATGTAGGCCTGAAAGAGAGAATTCTTGGCTCTGTGAAGATCCCTATATGAATTGTATTAACAATATTTGGAAAGTTAGCCTAAGCCACACCAATGATTCAAGTTTGTGCTCTTCTGTGTTCCAGGGAAGAATCAAATGATCTTTTCTTTTATTGTGTCAAAACAAAATTTTGCATGTATTAAATACATAATTCTTATTCAAATACATAATAGCAGATGCAAAAGTTCTGTTTAACTCAGTGAAGGGATTGGCAGGAAGATAATGCTGTTCAAAGGAGATTGCCAAAGAGGAAAGCCTGAAGTAAAACTGCTAAATTAGATACAATCTGGCTAATGTCCTAAGGGGCAATAAAACCATCACTTTTTAAATTGGTTTGTCTTCTAGACAGAAATTAGTTACATCTTTAAAAGCCTAAAAATTCTTTTCATCTTCTCACTTTGCTGATCATTATATGTAACTTTCCAGGGCTGTAAAATGTCAAAATATACGGAACTTATTTAATTGTAAATAGTGTGTCAGAGTTATGTGTTTCACAGAAAAGGAAATAATCATTCTGTGAGCCTCTAATGCCCCAATTAAACCGAAAGGACTTGCTGTCAAAATTTTACTCCGGACCTTTTATCAGGCCCTTTCCTCTCTGGGCCTGCGATTGGCCATGAAGGCTGTGGGTGGGCTCGCCCTCTCTTCTCCCAGCCTGCGCTCCGTCTTGGCGGCTGGGGCTGGCGCCCATGTCCCTGTCCATGTCCGCTCCGGCCCGGCTCCCGGGGCCTGCCTTTAGCCGTGGCGGGGCGGCTCAGGCTGCCCCCGTGTCCCTGTCCACGCCCCCGTCTCTGTCTCCATCTCCACTCAGGGCCTCACCTGCACATAATCACCTCCTGTCTTGTCGTGACCCGTTACAGAGTACCGGCCTAATTTGCATATTACCTCTTTTTATAGATATAGATATAGAAATAGATATAAATTCACCTAACACACTCTGAGAGGACACATACAAGCAATACCACCAAATTCTGCAAGCATTACATTCTGGAACAGATGCAAAGAGGACCCTAAGCCTCCTGATACACTCACAAATCCCAAATACACACACCCACAAACCACTCACGAATATACACCCCACACACTCAGATGGATACATGCAAAACACAAAAGCACTGACAATCCCTTAACTCTCACTAATATGCATACACTATTCTCACACACCTATGGAAACACACACGCTTGCAAATATTTCTCAAGCCCTGAATATACAGACCCCTCAAACACTATGCATTATGCCACCTCTCCAGAATACAACCTCATCACCTCGCCTCTTCAGTATGTAACAAAAGCACACCATACACATTGTTTTCTCTGGCATCACTCTGAATATACAGACCACTGCTTGCTAACTACTACCAAATGCATGTAGAAACACTTTAGTATTCTCCAAAGAAATACACTTTAATCACATCTAAGAACCCCTGAATAAACTGATAATTCATGCACCTGGTCATAGACATAAACACAGACCAGTATACATGGGCAAGACACGTAGAAATATCTCCAGCAAAACACATATAAAACAACTTCCAAATTCCAAATTACCCCTAGCTAATGAGTCAGCTCTCACATCCACAAATACTACAAATAACCGTATCACGCACCTCCCATACATAGATACCATCCTCCATCCCCTGTATAAGCACAGAAACCATCTCTCTGTCAAATACTCACACCCTCGGTACCCAAAACATGTGAGCCTTAGGGCCCGACTGAAAAATGCAAACACGGAGCTCCAGAAACATCCCTCCCCGGCCACGGCCCTGGAACACACAGTAAACTCCACACACACACTCTCCACAGCCCCAAACAGACCCACGAATACGCCGTGCCCTGCAAACATGCACACCTGTCTCCCCATACGTATGTCCCAAACACACTTCATGCCACATACACACCTGCGCATACATACCCCCTCCCAAATTCCCACAGAATTCACTCTTCCATCTTGCAGAACACACAGCCACACACCCCACACCAAACCGCACAAACACTGCTGTTCACCGGCATATACACCTCCACACCCTCCAAATACAGCGCTCCGCCTGCACGTTCACAGACACAGGCATGACCTCCCCCGTGAACCGGAGGCGCTGTCAGAGGCAGAAGAACTGCCGGGAGCTGCGCTGTTCAGAAAGCGGGGGACACAGACCGACGCCCCGAGTTGGACTCACAGGCATCACTGGGCCGTGTAGGCCCCCATCACTGAGCCCCAACGGCCAGTGGCTGTCAATTCCCGGTGAAAACACACAGAAATATGTGAGGGTGTGGGGGCTGAGCACAGACCCGGGGCACAGAGCCCACAGGTGAATCACAGAGAAGAGGGGGCGCCTGAGGGGAGAGGGGGCCGCGCGCCCCTTACCTCCCTGTTTGCCTAACGGACTCCGGAGGCCGCCATGCCAGGCCCCGCGTGCAGCCTGGGCGGCCGTTGGGGACCCGCCCTGCCTTTAGCGCATGCGCACGCCTGTGGGCGCCAACCGCCCCAATGGACACTGGGAGCAGTTGCAGGACAGAGTCCCGCCCCCAGTGGGCGTGCTCGTGCGTCCTGGCGCGAGGCACCCTGGGAAGGGCCCAGGCTGTCCCTGCAGGAGAGGAAGGAGTGGAGGGAGGGAGGGGCCCTGTGAGGCCTCCTGCAGGTCCTCCTCCCAGGAACCTCCCAGCGCGTGTGCAGGGAGCACTTGCGCCTTTAAAGTTGCAAACGTGCAGTCCATGCACTTGGCTGCTCCTCGGGACGTCGTTTGGGAGAGGCCGGCCTGAAGCACTGTCCTCGGAGGGGCCAGTGCCTTCATGCCCTTGGACTGCAGGTCCGTGGTTTTCTAGAGAGAGTAGGTCCGTCCTCCCAGAAGTCCGGGCGTGCATTGCACAATTCCGGCCAAGAACTTTAGACGTGGACACACTCTAAGAGACGCCTGCCCTGACCCCGTTCCTCCTGTATTAATTCAGTACGTGGAGGTTTTCAATAAATGTTGCTTCACAGATGTTTCCTTTGCAAGACTGTTGTTTTAACATGGATCAAGACATGACTGTCTGGGCCAGTTTCCGTTGACATGGCAGGTAGCATGGGAACAAAGTCACCCTGCCCGCCCTCCTATTTTGTATTATATTGCAGAATTTCAGTTGGCAATAGAACATATATATAGTAGCAGAATCAATTTACTGACTTGAGTTTCTCATATTTTCCAAAGAAAATGAAATTATAGCATCATCTTTCCGGTCATTTGTAAGAGGGGAAGGAGGCAGGAGGAAGACTCCTCACTACATTTTCCATTTTGCACAATTTGTGAACTATGCAAAGGCATTACTTGTTTAAAACATTAAAATCACTCAAAAGGTAAACAGTTAGACAGTGAACAACATAAAACTCTGAGAAACAAAACGCAGTGATTTCTGGTCTTGCCCTGTAGGCTGTAGGGCCTTGCCCTGATGGACGGGAGCAAAGGGGATGGTTTGTAAGGCTGGGCCGGCTGCATCTGCAGGGCTCCCAGCACTGGGCGGCACTTGGGGCCACAGGACTGCTTCCTAAGGAATGATGTGCACACAGCCACCGAGCATGCTGCCTCTGCTGGGTCAGTCCTAATTTCAAACACTGGGTTCCGTGTGGCCATAAGTTCCCATTATTTCTTCAGGCTGCCTGTTCTGAATTTTGTTTAGAAAGTGTAGTCTGTGTTGAAGTCAACCAAGACCAAATAGGAAGCAGGTTGAGGGACCCAGAACTAGGGTGATGGATCAAGAACTGAAATAAAGGGCACATCAGGTGACTTTGGGTGCCTAGAACTTAGAGAAGGTCATTACTGCTAGTGTGTCTTTAAATTTGTGATTTTAAATTTGAAAGGAACTGCTGGTTCTCGCCTACCTATCAGAGCCCTCCATGGAATGCCCCCCCACCCCCACCCCAGCCCATTGGTCCTCGGCCCCTCCCCCGCTGCAGAATGTCTGGAGCCCTACATTCTACAGTTTAAATCCAAACCTTCCCTCCACTGGATGCTGAGCAGCTGTTGGAGCAGGTCAGTCTCTGGATTCTCGACTTGACTTTTCTCATTGTGGAGGCTACTAGGCAGCGGTGGTCGGTGAATGAGCCTGCGGGGATGGCTTCAGTAGGAGGTAAGCCTATAGATTGGAGGAGGGATGTTTTAAACACTGAGCTGTCCCTCAAAACTTGGGGTTAAACTGTGACACTGGGGAAACACGGTTTGACTGAAGTAGGGGAGGGAGGGAGCACTGGACCTCCAAGGACCTGTCACCTGGGAGGCTGGGAGCCCATGGGAACCTGTGAGGGCACTGGCAGGAGGGCTCCTAGAGGTGGGTCAGGGTGGCTCAGGGAAATACCTGGGTGTGGAGAAAGAATGGCAGCAGGCACGTGGGTTCTTCCCAGAGGGGAGACAAGCCACTCCCACGTGTGTGCGGGGAGTAGTGGGCGATGTGGGGGTGGTACAGGGTGGTCACGGGAAAGCCTAGTCCTGTGTGCTGTCTTGGGGCACCTGGAGCTTGCCCCGCAGTATCTTTCTAAGGGACTTGACCTGAGTTCACTAGAGCTAATGGGGGCTGTGGGAGGGTCTTAGCCAGAAAGCTGTCCAGTGGGGCTGCCTGTGGCCAAGTCCACAATGAAATGTCCCCCCTGAGGGCTGGGCTGGAAGGTCCTCCAACTGCTGCAGCCCAGAGCTTCTCCCCTGCTTCTGGCCCAGAGCTCACTCCTCCTCAGCCCAGGGAGCTGCTTGGTGGCTTGGATTCCACAGGGGCAGGGCGGCCGGGTAACTTCCACCAAGATAGGGCCCGGTTCCCTGAGCTGTCCCGAATCGTTCCCCCTGTGGCCACCCAGGTCTTCAGACCGACTTCCTCTTGTCGAGCATCTCATGGTGCACCCTCTGCTCTGCCCTTTACCTTTGAGATGAGGGGTTTGCTTATAGTCCACGTCCCTGCTTCAGGGACAGAAAACAGGTGTGGAGCATGGGTGGTGTCCGTGGAACGTCTGTGAAGGCGGATTCTTTTTTAAGGGGGAAGGGGAGTGCACAGGGGCAGGAAGACCATGGTCTGTGTCAGTAGTAAACGCCCGAGGCCGCCTGTCCTGAGGAATTAGGGGCACGCGGTGTGCAGCGTGCTCTCCTGGACTAGGTCTGCTCGACTTCCTCTGAGCGGGGACATGTTCAGACAACTGTGTCCCACTGTCACCGGCTCACACCTGCTTCCTACTGGGCCTTCACTTTCCACTGTTGGGAGCTGGAAGGGGAAGGACCTCACACAGTCTGCAGTCCCATGACCCATCTAACAGGACAGCAACTATGGAAGTTTCTGGAAACCCCTACTGACAGCACCACTTTGCCGCATTCCGTGACCCTTCTCTAACCCTATGCAGCCATTGCTGGCTGTGAAATGACAAGCTCCTGAGGGGCCATTAGTCTGAGCGCTGGGGCCAAGAGGCAGGACCTGACCCGTGTTGAGTGTTCACTGTTGGTTCTGACACACGTGTGCATGCTGGTCAGTGCGTTCAAGGGTCAGATAGGGGCTCCTGTGTCTTTTTGTGGAGAGACATTACTCAAGTGTTTCTGTGTTGTTGTGCAAACCCAGGACAGAAAGGGGGTGATTTATTGAGAAAAGGGAAGACTGAGGAGCAGATGGGGCCCTAATATTTCAGACACGGCCTGTTCTCAGAGGCCCTTTGGGTGCCTAGGACTTACCTTGGAGAAGGTCACTACCAGAGTGGGTCTGCCTGGGGTCGTTGCCCCCAGAGCAGACTGCTGCCCAGGGCCATGCCCTGAGGCTGGCAGGGTCGGTGCCAGGGAATCCTTAGGGCAGCTCTCAGGGTCAGCGCTGGCTGGGGCCGTTTCTTCTCGCAGACAGTGGTCAGGGAGCCTTGGCGCTGGGGAGCAAGCTCTCCAGTGGAGTAATTCCCAACCGGAGGTCAGAGCGTGACAATGACCTGAGGACATCTGCCACCTCCGCAGTTTGCCCATCCCAATGGCCCTCCCCTGGGAGACTCACTGCTCTGATTCCCCAGTGGCTACAGGGGGGCCCCGAGCGCCTCAGTGCTGTTTGCTGGTCTCCTCCTCCCCTCACCCTTTCCTTTGTCTCAACAGCATCTGCAGCGCTGGGAGCGGGATGTGACCCTGAAGCCTGGTGCCTCCATGACTCCTTTCACGGCACAGCCCTTTCCCCTGCCCACTACTGGCCCCGCACACCGGCCACCTTGGGAGCAGCACCTGCTGCCCCTCAGGACCCCGTCATTCCCTCCTGGCCGCCCCCTGGTGCTGCCCGCTTTGCCCAGGACACCTCTGGTGGCAGGAGATGCTGGTCAAGGCCCCGTTGGGCCTGGGGCTTGTAACATCATGGACCAGGTCAGGTCAGAAGGGGGACGACCACAGCCCTCCCAGACTCAGACCATTGTCCTGACTCAGGCCCCCCTCAACGGGAGTGCTCCAGGGGCCATCTGTGGGGGTGCTGTGTGTCCTGCACCCCTCTTCTTGGAAGCCACTGCGGTGGAGACCATTATGCCCGCCTCGGCTTTTGGGGGCACCCAGGCCGGCGATGGAGGCTGGTGTCCCGGCCTTCCTCCTCAAGCTCCATCACCAGCTGCCCAGCTGGCCCCCATCGTCCCCCGAGTGGACCCTGGATTACGGCCACACGGGGCTTCCAGGGAGGGTGGCCTGGCCGCCTCCCAGTCCAAGGCCTCGCCGGATGACGCCTGTAACCCCAAGAGTGTGTACGAGGACTTCCGTCGTTGGCAGTGCTTCAAGGCTCTGGCCCGGGAGCACCTTCCCCAGAGTCCCGATGCGGGAGCTCTTTGCTGCTTCCTCATGTGAGTCCACTGGGCAGGGCAGGGGGCGCACCTGGAGCTTTCAGTCCTGCTGGGTGGGGGTGGGAACCTGGCACCACTGAGCTGGGGTGGGCAGGCGGGTGGAGGCCAGGCTGCAGCCATGACTGACCCTGAGGCATTACAGGCCAGCGCTCCGGTCCCTGTCCCTCCTGAGGCCCACCATGACGCTGGAGGAGGGAATAGGGCAGGCCATGCAGGAATGGCAGCGCAAGAGCAACTTTGATCGGAGGGTCTATTCTGAGATGGCAGAAAAGTGAGTCAGGGTCCTTGGTCCCCACAGCTGGGGGTGGGGGTGGGGAGCCTGCCTGTGGGGCAGAGTCCAGCTGTGAGGTCTCATCAGAGAGGAGGGTGGTGGGAGGTTGTCACTCAGCACGGGGTCCCCGCAGCCCAGAGGCCCTTCTCTTCTGGGGAAGCCTCTCCCTCAGCTTCAGAGCGTGGGTGCTTCTGTCCCACCTCCCGGGGAAGCTCCCCCCTCCTCTGACCCTGACCCGTCCTGGGCTGGACATGAAGGCTCAGGACAGGCTGGGGGAGGTGCCCGCCCCGTGGGCAGACTCCAGCCAGAGGGGCTGTGCAGGAATGTGCTCAGCCAGCCTCCTGCCTCCCCAGTGTCCGGGCCCTGACAGCCCCCAGGCCCTGGCTCTCCCATCCCCCCACCTGCTGCTGCCTTTCTGGGCTCCCGGGGCCTCCTTCTCAGCACAGCTGTCCCCCCCTCACTCCCAGGTTCATGGAGTTTGAGGCAGAGGAGCAGATGCAGTTTCAGAAGTTGCAGTTGAAGAAGGGGGCGCAGACCCAGCCCCCTCCTGCCCCACCGAGACCTGATCATCGGGGGCCCCCAGCCCCAGTGGTGCGCGGACAGCCAGGTAGGCCAGCACGTTCCCAGGAGAGCCCATGACCAAAGGCAACAGGGCCTAGGGCAGGCCACTGTCCCACCCACAGGGGCCCTTCGCCTTCAGGGGGGCTTTGGTCTTTCAAGGCAACCAGCCCTGAGAGCAGGGCCTCAGCGGCCCTTTGTCTGAATGGGGTCTGGACCTGGTCCACTTTCTCATCCCCTCTCCCCGCTCCCTGTCAAAGGCCCCACATGAATCTGCTGAGAAGCGGGCTGGCTGCGGGGCCCCTTGGAGATTCGGTGGCTCCACACGTCCTCACACATGACTCTCTTGGGTGCTCCCCTCTGGCCTCTCCCCTCACATAGTCACAGGCTTCAGGTGGCCCGACTCAGCCGCACCCATATTAATGCCCCAAACACTGCCCTCAGCATCGCATGCCCTGGAGGTGGGAGCTTTATCCCCTCACGCTCCCATCTCTTCCCTCTCTGCCCAGCGCGCACTACCAGGAAGGCTGTACCCAGCGCCCAGGGCGCCCACACAGCCCCGCTGCCCCGGGAGACCGAGTCCCGCAATGGGATCCCCCCTGAGGCTGAGCAAGAGGACATGGACATCATGGATGAGCCGCCCATGGGGGCGCCAGGTGGAGGATGGGAAGATGAAGAAATGGAGTGGCTGCAGGATGAAGATCTCCTGAGCTACCTGGACCAGCTGTGCTCCCAGGAAGACTTTGTCACCCAGGTGGGCTGGCTGGCAGCTCCGGGTCTGTAAGATCCCAGAGGGAGGCGCTGCAGCACCCAGACCCGGGTTCTCCCAGGCCGATGGGATTGGGCTCTGCTCTTTGTTCCTGAGCTGGGCACGTGAGAGTGTGTGTGTCTGTGTGTGCATGTGTTCGCTTTGTGTGTGTGTGGTGTGCGTGCTGTGTTCATGTGGGTGTGCCCGTGTGTGTATGTGCATGTATGTGTTTGTGTGTGTATGTGTGTGTGTGTGTGTGTGTGTGTGCACCTGATGACCATGATGGAGTAAAACACCCGCCTGAGCAGGAGGCTGGGTGGGTCTTGGCTTTCCCACTTGTGCTCCAGGCCCCGCTGACTCCCAGTTTGCTCCCTGCCAAGGGGCTCACAGCCGCTTCCTTCTGTCCCAGGTGGAGGCGGTCATTCACCCCCAGTTCATAGAACAGATAATTTCCCCAGACGCACAGCAGGATCCCTTGGCCCTAGCTGAGGAGTTGGAGCAGGAAGACGGGCTCACTGCTGCCCAGGTGAGCCAGGGGAGGGTGGACATTAGGGAGATGGGAGGGGGACCCCAAATGAGCCATAGGACCCAGGGACCCCAGGGCATTTAGAGGAGGGACAGGCCCTAGTGAGTCAGGGAAGGAGGGAGGGAGGTAGATCAAGGATGGGGGACCCCAGGGAGCCGTGGGGAGGGCGCACCCAGGTAAACCAGGGCAGGGAGCAGCCCAGAACCAGGACGCACATGCCAGTGTCCACGCCACCCCTGCCTGCAGGCACCGCGTGCCGAGGGGCCAGCCCTGGGTGGGAGCAGGGCAGAACGACAAGAAGGAGAGGGCCACAGAGAGGAGGGCGTGGGAGCCCAGAAGGGGAGGGGCCACAAACCTGGGAATATGGCACAGGGGACAGAGGAGAGACACATGACTGTCATGGATTCCAGTCAGGGTGTCACCTCCCCCTCCTCCCCCCAGTGCAATTGTCCCATCACCCACGCTCCTCCTCCTCACACACGTGTGCAGCGCCAGTCACTGTCCCTTCTTCCTCCCAGCTGGTAGAGAAGCGAGTGCTGGCCTCCAAGGAGGGGGGCGTGCAGGCACCCCCGAGTCACGGTGCTCCCCTGTGGGACTCAAGTCCTTCTGAGTCTTCGACCAGCCAAGATGCCCAGAGGCATGACCGTGGCCCCCGGCTGGGGGTCAGTGACAAAGCCTGCCCACCAGAGACTGACTTCAAGGACCAGCAAAGGCGCGGTCCAGCAGGCGCCCACCGGCCCAGGCCCCAGGCTTCTGCTGTCTCTGTGGGGCGTCAGGAGCACCCACCACTCCGGGCTCGATGCCCCCCCTCTGCTCCCCAGGGCCACGGGCCTGCTGACTGTGCACTGGGATCCAGGGAGGCCTGCGTCCCCAGAGAGGCCTCTCCTGTCAGGGAGACTCGCGGGCCAGCGGACAGGCCCCGTGAGGAGGACGAGGACCTCTGCAGCCTGGCCTTCCTCTGGGCCTCTCCCGGCCGCCTGCTGCCCTGCGCGCTCTCTCTGAGCCCTGTCCCCGCCTCAGGCCTGGCCCGCCCTGGAGGTCGGGGCCCCCGGGGCGCGGCCCAGACCCAGTCCCTTCAGAGACGAGGCCTCAGCCGAGCTGCACCTGCAGCGTCCAAGTCTCAGAAGCGGGCTCTCGGGGGAGGCCCCGTCCACGCTGAGAAGACCCCCCGCCCAGGGGCCGACCTCGGGGTCTGTGGGCGGCCAGTACTGGGTCTGGGGCTGGTGCCCTCCTCACAGCCTCGCAAGAGGAAGTGTGACCCGTCTGACCCAGGGAGTGGGAGGAAGCGGCACTGCAGCCAGGATGGAGCAGAGGGGTGTGCCCCCCACTGCCAGCGCCCCGAGGGGCCCAGACTGCATGGGGCCTGGCTGTCCCCCAGAGGAGCCAAGGGCTCCTTCTCATCGCAGGGCTGATCCTGCTGTTCCACTGACATGGGAGGGTGGGAGGCAGGAGGGAGGACGGGCCCCTTAGGGCGTGGGTGGGACTGTGGTGGGGGAAGGATGGAGGGAAGGATCATTAGGGTAGGGGGGGGGCCTGGGGTGGGGGTAGGAGGGAGGGCAGGACCATTAGGGTGGGGGTGGGCCTGGGTTGGGGGTAGGAGGGAGGGCAGGACCATTAGGGTGGGGGTGGGTATGGGGTGAGGGTAGGAGGGAGGGCAGGACCCTTAGGGTGGAGGTGGGTCTGGGGTAGGGGTAGGAGGGAGGACAGGACCATTTGGGTGGGGGTGGGGGTAGGAGTAGCACCTTTGGGACATTGTGGGTCTGTTATGAATAAAGATAATTTTGTTTGAAAATGCTCTGGGGGCCGCTGTGTCTGTACTCGGTTCTGTGCTGCTCCTTGGAGAGGGCACCTGAGAGGAAGGGAGGATGCGGGAGGTCCTGGGCGCTCTGCATCCACAGGGGACCCTCAGTCCCTCCTCCTGATTGACAGGGACCTCTTCCTGCTCCTGGGAGCACACAGCTCTCTAATGCCCAGGGACCCCTCCCATCACTTCTGCTCCCAAGGCCAGACTGTGCCCTGACCCGAGAGGGAAAGGCTGGGCCTCAGGGGCAGGCTGTCCCCCATGGGCCTCCTGCAGGAGGAGCATCCTCTGTCTCAGCGGGTGATTGAAAGTGGAGGGGGTTGGGGGCGAGTCTGGAACAAGGGGGTGACAGGAGAGTAATGGCGACAAGCCTGTTAAAGGTGGGTACACGGGGAATGGCAGTGGGTGGGAGGATACCAAGTCCCTTGGGGGATTTCTGTGTGGGACGATCCTGTCCAGCTGGGGGAGGAGGACCCCTCTGCTGTGGCTGGGGGACGGGGCTCAGGGACAACGGGGATTCAAGGACGCCCACGACTGCTGTCCCTTCCCTCCCAACCAGGGCTGGACTCTTGTGTGATAGATGCTGACGCAGATTTACATCCGCGTGGGAAACAGGTCCTACTCACAACCTGTGGGGCCCTTTCACAAGCTCGACCAGCAGGGGCGGCAGGGGCCCAGGTGCGTGTGGCCCCAGGGCTGGTGGCAGCTGAGATCCAGGCTGAGGGAAGGGCTTGTCACCGGCTGTGGGCACTGCTACGGACCCAACAGACAAAGCAGGGACCCGGCCCGGATGTAAGAGTGAGATGAGCCAGCAGTGAGGGACAGAGCCGAGCCAGGAGGAGACCTCTGTCTGCAGAACTGCCTGTCCCAGCTCTGCTCCCACGTGGCCACGCCCTGGCCCTCACCCCTGCCTCCTGGCCATTGCCTCTTCCCCAAGTTCAAGTCTGATTCCTGCCCTGGGCTCAGGTTGGGTGGGACGGCTGAGGCTCCCGAGCAAGGCCCCAGCCCACCCAGCATGCAAAGCTGTGGCCCCGGGCGGTGGTCCGGCAGCAGCGATGGGATGGAGTGAAAGGAGGCCTGGCCCTCTGCTGCCCCCACAAAGAGCTCGGGCGAGAATGGACTCATGTCAGGGCCCTCACCCCCTCCCACAAAATCGCAGGTCAGCCCTCAGGTCCTCTGCTGCCTTCCCTTGTCCCGTGTGGCGGGCAGCACCCACTCTCCCAGCCTCCTGGGCACTTTGTGAAGGAGACTTCTCACCAAATCATTGGTTTATGTGTACCATGAGGTGAAAAAGGTAGAAATCACTGGTCTAATCTAATCTGCCTGGAGCCACCTGAGGGGCTGATGCAAGGCCCTTGTCTTGCTTTTGCCTAACTGGGAACTCTCTTAGATGGAAAGGCATGAGCAACGCTTGGCAACACCGTGAGGCAAACACAGGTTGCAGCTGCCTGGCGCACAGTTGAGGCAAAAATAGAGCGCTGAAGCCCCAGAGGAAAACCCGGGGAGAGAGCTTCTTTGGAAAAACAGGCCACCGGCAAGTGCCAGTGTATACAGTACTAGGGAATGTAGAAGGCTGCTCTGCACGCCTGGGCGTGATGCATGCTCAGGAAAGGGCCTGAGAAGACCCTAAGTTTTCACCTCTAGCTGACCTCTGGGCTCAATGAAGCAGGAAGTGAAGGCTAACATTCTGCAGCACGCCCCAAAAATATAGTTTTTGCTGATCTGGCAAAAAGAATAGGTATAATTTGGATTCACTCACACCAGGAGGCTATTGCTGTGTTGGCTGTTGTCATTTTTTAGTTTGACAATCGAAGGGAAAAGAGGTCAGTGCCCCTGGCTAAATGGTCAGGTGTTGCAGGTTTTAAACATTCTTGCGGTGCAACCGTTAGAAACTGCTGGATCTGACAGACACAATTCTCTGAGAATACGGTCTACTCTGCTCCCTCCACAGTCAAAGGTCAGGCAGGGTCCCTCACTGGGAACGTGGTCCTCACAGCTGCCACCCAGCCAGGGAGCGGGTGGAGCATGGGCGGTTAAGATGCGCCAAAGCTTTCCTACCATTTTGAAGTTGCCTTTTTTTGATTTGGCTTTTTTGTTTTGTTTTATTTTACAAAGTTCTGATGAAGTTGATTCTGACCAGTTTTTCTTGGTATTTCAATGTTTTCACAGAGGGGCAGGACCTTGGAGGGGCCTACTCTGCCATTTTTACTAACATCCCTTTAATTCTTTGAACATCCTATAATAGCTGTTGGGAAGTCATTGTTTGCTAAATTCAATACCTGGACCCACTCAGAGTCATTTCTTTCTTTTTTTTTTTAAATATATTTTATTGACTTTCTACAGAGAGGAAGGGAGAGGAATAGAGAGTTAGAAACATCAATGGGTGAGAAACATCTATCAGCTGCCTCCTGCACACCCCCACTGGGGATGTGCCCGCAACCAAGGTACATGCCCTTGACAGGAATCGAACCTGGGACCTTTCAGTCCGCAGCCCGACACTCTATCCACTGAGCCAAACCGGTTAGGGCCACTCAGAGTCATTTCTATGGACTTGCATCTGGGTCACAGTTTCTTGTATCTTTTCATGTTTTGTAATGTTCTGGTTGAAAGCTGGGTATTTTAGATAACATTTCCTAGTGCTTCTGTGTTCACATTGTAGCTCTGCTCTCCAAATTCACAGATCCGGGCCCTTTAAACCGTTTCCCTTTGCCATCTGCGTGATGTTTAAACCTCGTCAGTAGAGGCGCCAAGGGCACAATCGCAGGGAAAAGGGGTTTCC